ATATATATATATATATACAAAGTGCTACTCTCTCCTAGAATAGTCCGGTCACAAACGTTCCCCGATTTGCTATTGATGAGAATGCTAAAAGCTCACAACCGACCCGCGACCGCTAGTGGTTAAGCACTTGAACGTTTGGCCACGAGCTTATGATCATCAATGTCGGCTCTCACTTAGGACGTAGCGCCACTCATTCTTCAGTCACGGAAACCACACCACCTGGTCACTTATTTGGCTGCCCGAGTGCCGACTTCTCTGATGGAGGTTCCACTCGTGTGAAATTATTCTACCTCTAAGCTATTTCTAGATTTCTGGAAGAACGATATTTGATAATTTTCAATGGAGATTTCATCCTGTCAGAGAAGTCGTCAGTCGAGTAGCTAGTCAATGTGTGACCACATGGTGTGGTTTCCATGATTTAAGGATGAATGGCGCCGTGCCGTGTTGGCCAGTGTCGGGGAATGCATCACAAGGCGGCTGGAAAACGAGGGTTCGTGTGTACAATGGGGACTTAAATTGAACTGTGTCCAGCACCAAGAGGTGCAGTGGTTTACTCATTTACTGCGCATGTCGAAAGAACTTTTTCTGTGCCCAATTTAAAGTGGTGTGTGCCTAATGGTCAAACTCTGACTCGACAGGCCCGTATGAAGTCGGTTAGGAAAGTCCAGTTACTGTCGGTGTGATCCGCCTTCCAGAATGGGGTCCGTGTGATCTCCCTTGTGCGTATTTGGAGGTACTGCAAATATGGCGGCCATTTTCCGTCCTCCAACGCGCAGCTACCTAACCCACCTCCCCGAATCATCTGTGAATGAAACTGTGGCAGCTACAACCACTGTACGACAAGTACGGGGTTATTACAACTGACGATGACGATGTCATTTTCTTTCCAGGTTATCTGATGGACTGTCTGGCGGCGTAAGCACCTTAGAAAGTAGACTAGAACTAGGTCCATTCCTGGTTCACTTCCACTCCTTCATAATTTCAGTTTCAAATCATGGTCCAATCAAGCACGATTGTGGAATACCAGTTTTGTGCTGTCGTTGATGATTGTCCAAAGACTCGAGTCAGTGGGCGATAAAGTCGGCAAATCTGAGCGCAAGTGGTTTGATTTTGGGAACCGAATTTACTTCTGACCTACCCGCCGGGCTTGGCTCTAGGCCTGCCAATCAATGCAAACCTATTAACAGGTCTACGGCAAACAAATCCAATTCCAGATGCAACATCGCTAACAGCAGTAAACCCAGCATTTTTTTCTACGCCTTTTACACGTCAAGATGTATTGGTATCTCTTCTCAGGCAAAGATAAGCAAATCAGTATTGAAGATGCCTTCATGGATGCTCAGCACATTCATGCCCGTGGATTATGAAGCCACTTTGGTTTTTGGAGTGTTAGTCAGACACAAATTTCATTCCATACAGATTAGATCATTCATGACGCATCACAAGCGCCCCGAAATCCTGCTCCAATCTTCATACCAATTTTCGAGTGTGCTACGGAATAACTAGCCCACTGGCATAACGCTACGCCGAACACGGAAGATACTTTTTGTTCGCAATCATTTCTCCCCGAGGCAACCGTTTTCTTGTAATGTGTGCGTTTATACGTGCCTCACGTACAGAATAAACCATAATAAGACACTATCCGAAGGAAGCACGAGGGCTGGGATGCTGCCAGGTTGCTCAAGCCTAGACAGAAGTCGAGAGCCCGAGGTCGAATGCGAACCACGGACCTTCCGGTCAGTAAATTCGCGCTCTAACCACTTGAGCCATATCGTCTCTAATAAAACGCCTAAAATTAACATGCCCTGATCAGCGAACACACCACCGTCCAGTTAGAAACCAATTCGAACAACGGTGTTTACTGTTCAGCATCTGTTGGCTTAACCTCTAAACTTTCTTATACCCGAGATCACGGGTTGTCGCCTCATGTTCATTGTTCAGGTGACAGTGTGGGTCGGGCCGTGCTGAAGTCCTGAAAAAATCCTCCACTTCTTCAAGTTAAATGTTCAGTAATACCGCACCATAATAGCTCATTTTCCCCCCAACACCGTCCTCTAGGTAATATATGCGCAACACTTTCGCGGACTCTCTTCGGCACATACTCATCTTGTCCACCTTGTTAATTTGTTCAGTCAAATCGCATTGAGTTATTTTACTTCTAACTAACCGTTTGAGTCCCTCATCACGATATGTTTCTACTTCCAAGCACCCTGTGTGTTCTTCATAATGGTGATCAAAAACAGGCTGACTTATGGGACGAGTCCATCTAACGGCATGTTTCAGCCTACGCAGCTTCACAAACAGATCGTTTTCCTGATCAGCTTGGTCTTCCTACTCATTATGTATTGGAGACAGAGCCCCAACCAGTCCATCCTCAGACTCTTTTAGTAACGAGATTTTAGGTCGGTATGTGATGCTGATCGGACATGATGTGACTTTTTCCCTTACCGGAAACCTTTTTGAGAGTTCCGCTTGTATGCTCTCGCTCCCACTCAACCCCTCTGACACAGCAGCACTGTCTCCACAATAATTATTCTCCCAATTAAAATCTATTTATCCCTCAGGACGTGGTCATCTCCTCAAAAATACTGAGGTCTCCAAAGTGAACTCTTATGATGGGTGTTGTCTCTAGGACGACATGGCTATGGTTCGAGCGGTAGACCGGAAGGTCCGTGGTTCGAACCCGAACCCTGCCTCTCGAATTCCCCTGCTTGGGCTTAGGCAAGCGCGCAACGTCCCAGTCATCGTGCCTTCTTCAGCTGGCATGGCAGCTAGGTACCCAAAGGGTGTTACAGCTGAATGATTTTTCTAGTGTTGCTACCGCTGTAACGGTGATACTACTGCTGGGGAGGCACGCGAGTAGTATGTGTTGTTCGTAGAATTTCGCTTTGCGTCTATTGAAAAAGGGTGATCTGTTGCGGAATTCCTGGAGCCACTTTATAACATTTGCTTGGATTTGACCGACGAATGGGTGGAGTCAATTAATCTCCAGGAAAGTTTAAGAAGACTCGTTCGGGAGAAGATTGGTGTCCAGTTTTTGTAACTAAGATGCAGATTAGAGTATTGCTTCCCTGTTCAGCGGTCTGTAACCGGTCAGTTGGCATTTCCTAATAAATAACTCCGCAGCGAAGGCCTTCTTTTCACCACTACTATACCTCCGGAACGTATCCTCTCACCGTCCGCTTACACCTTACGGGACATATTCGCCAATAAAGAAGCTGACGCTTGAACTATTTTCATCATCCGTATTCAGTTTTTTGATAACCGCTTTAGTGTGCATTATCTGGCGATCCTAACGTTACTAGCCATTTTTTCTGTTTCACATCGTTCTCATCCTTATGCTTACTCGACATTTGGGTACAACTACTGGTTGCTTCTAGGCATGGATAAGTGTTCTTAGGCGGAAATATGAGTTTCAGGTATCCATACCTTTTTGTGAACCGGTGGAAGCAATTGTGTGTGGATGTAATGACTGTCGAAGCGTTACACAAATAGGTACATCTGCTGTTTTGAGTGCCTTATCGCCCTCGTGAATGATGTCGGAGGCTGCTGATTTTGAACTTTCGTCGTCTTTCCCGTTGTTGGCATACCGCATTTACATCCTATTACATGTTTCTGTATGATTTGGTCACGTGAATGCACTGAGGTGTCATACAACTCGTACTTTGGTTGACGCTTTACACGTGGCTTCTGTTTCGTTAAGCTACAAACCGACTACGCATCTTGGTTGGTGGCATATATACCTTTATTTTTTCTACCCATTTTATAGCGACTTGTTTGATACACTTGATGCTTTTTTTCAAATTGCGACGAAATTCCTAAGACTCTTTTAATTTATCACCCCTTGTGTTTTATTCATAGGCTTTCTGGTGTGTTTATCGAAAACGGGAGCGTCAGAAAAGCGCTACTTTCAAACAGGATACGGAGTCTGCGTCTATTTGTGAGTTTGGCGCCTCTGCGTCTGAAACTTTTCCTGACTCGGCTTCGCGATCTATAGTCAGGACGAAAGAAACCGATGACGTCGTTAATGAACAGTCTGTCGCTCGAGCCAATAGGTCCTGCATTTCTTATTTCTGTTGTTGTATCCCTGAACATCCTCCCACTCATCTCCACCATGACACATCCGCATTAGAATCAGCTGTCACAATTGAAGCAGACAAATCATCCAATGACGTTCCGGGACCTAGAATTCAGTATGGTGAGGCCCCACAATCTGGTAGTGCTTTTAAATGCGAAGCAGGTATCGCGAGTGAGCGCCTTTCCTTGGATTCATCAGCTTCGCCCTCTCTGGCAGCCCGCCGCCGCGCTGCTCCTTTGCCACGACTAGTGTCTGCGCTACCTTCAGTTCTGTCACCTAGCCCCCTGATTGAAACGCGAACAGTGCAGGTTCAACCAGCGGAGGCATCTCACCTCGTTGGAGCAGCGGTGAACAAGGCTGAAGGCGCGTGTATGCTTTCGATCGCTGACACAAGTTATCGAAAGCCCGATGTACTCACTCAAGTAACCCTCAGGCCCAAAGCCAATGGAATGCCACTAGGTTCAAGCAAGCATGTTATCCATTCGGAGCCACCACAGAGCACAACATCATTCATTGATTCTGCCTCACATCTAACCACTGCACCGACTCATCCAGTGAGACACCGAACCAGAGGATTGCTGGAGAGGTGGGTTTAACAAAATTTCACCATTAATGGTCTGTCATGGTGTGCACTCTTTCATGGCACATTTTTTCGGAGAGATGAAGATCTGTAATCCGGCTTCTGGTTTGCTAACCGAATTCAAAACAACACATGCGTAACAATTTTTTCCAATGTGAACGAAGAGCCGCAGGTATGATTTGTACTTTCCGCTTGCTCAGACCTTGGAATGAGGTTTGTTCGAGTTACCCTAACTTAAACCTTTGCCTTTAAAATCTCACCCACAAGGCAGCGGGTAGTCGGGTTTTTAAAAGACTCTGCTGGAAGCACATGAAACAATGGTCTCATGTTCTCGACTGTGGAGGTTGGTCTAGCGTAAAGGTTCAGGAAATAAGGTATAAATCTCTCACTCCTGATGTTGCTGTTTACAGAAGATCCATTTGGTTATTCGCAGACGATTAGTGTGCGATTTTCAGGGTCCATCGTTTCTAACCCGTCTCTCCTCGGAGGAAGGTGGCATCGATGCTTTCATGAGTGGGAAGATGTTCATCATCTAAGGAAATCAGCTTCCTGCCTTTGCACTCGTATTGCAGAGGACAGTACAACTTTATCCTCAGACCGCCCTGTATTACGATTAATCGTTGTATGTGGACTTGCTTCTCTTCGTCTGACTACACCTTGACCCTCTTGGCATGGTTGGACTTTAAGAAATCATGTTCCAACTAGTTTGACCCTCGTGATCAGTGCATCACTCAAACCAGACCACTACCTCAGTATGGCAGCTTTCGGTTTGGAACCAACGTAACCTTGTTACACGGGTTATTGGTGATAAACTGAACTGAGCTGTTTTTTCCGATGTTAGTATACTTGCTTCCACATCTCACCTCCGGAAGAGGTATGCAGGAATGTCTACAGGGATGATCAACGGTGGGTGATTTTTCAAGCCGTTGCCCTTCGTCCGATGTAACCTACGAAGCATCTCAGCTTCACGGGTTAGTACGACGAAATATCCACCAGTGGTGAACTACTTGCGAAGAATCTAGTCTATGCGAGTTCAATTCAAATTGTTCTTGAAGACTGATCAGTTCAGGATCGAGGGTATAAGCCATGCAACAGCCAGCAACCGCAAGTGTCATCCCTCCCATTGCGATGAGACATAACGTTCTGTTTGGCGATTCCGCTCGAGAATAGATAGTTGGGATTACGCGAACCTTCATCTTACAATGCATCAATTAAATAACCTATTGGGTACCTGTAAACTGCTTGGATGCCGAAACATTATTCTTATTTTTGTAATGCACTACTCATAAGGTTGCTAAAAACTCTTCTTATTTGTCTCTTGGGTACCAGGCTAGAGACCAACTCGTCTGCCACAAAACCAAATGCGGACAGTGGGCAACCTCTCTCTCTCTCTCATTTCCAATCCGGATGAGTTCGCTGTGATTCGCTGAGCGTTTTATCCACCACAAGGATGAATCTTGACAATAAATAATCTGTTGTTGGTAAAGTACACTGATCTGAAAATCAGACTATATTTGACAGGAGCCCCAGTTGAACCACATCTGAATGTCTTGTTCATACTTCATTTGAGTCTATCGTTAACAACAACTTGGTTGCATGTGAGTATATTTCGTCAGTTGCGTTTAGTTTTATGTTCAAGCAGAACAGAAATTCGGAGACTACGCCTATCGGCACTCAGTATTCGAACAACGGGGTTGAATTTTCGAAAGCTACGACGTGTCCCTGATAGACTACAAGGGACAGGCAATTGAGTTCAGAGTTCAAGCTTTTGAGCCCCATCTAGGCATCCCGGGGTCTCCACCAGACTTTTTCCGCCAAGGGTATGATTGCTTCAGTAGACGATGTAGTTTTTTGAGCTGCGGAAATATGAATGTAGATTAGGTTCGAGCACATACGAAACAAAATGCAACATTTTGGCGCAAAAAGTTTTTTTTCCACTCGCCAAGGTTTTGCCGCTAATAGCGTTGTGTGGCCACGCCTATCTGATGACACCCAAAAGAGTCGAAAGCGCTCGTGGTCTACGGAAGAGTTTTCAGCAACCTCATGGATAATTTTTCAATCCAGACAACTGGATTGATTGAACGCAACACAATTGTGCGCGCATGTGTATCAGTTAATCTTTCGATTGGCTCGTGCGTTGCCTCAAGCGCCTCTTTTTTCGTATGGTCTTCTTCCGTTTGTAAAAAGGTTCTAGTTCCTTCTCAAAGAAGTTGGGTTAGAACTCGCTTCGAAATATTCCTCACGTGAGAACCTCACTGAGGAAATCAATTTTCGATCCGTCGGGTTTATTAATGACCCTGTGTAGTGACTCAGTCTAACACTAGGTCACTGTTTTTTTCTATTCCTCTTTGTAATTCGAGTCCACAGAAGGTGAAATAAACCCGCATTTTAAAAATAGAATTTGTTTAATTTAGACCCGCGCGGCAGGCTTATTGTACTTTGCTCTACTCGTTGTTGCTGCAGCCTGTTTAATATGATGGGTTGCTGTGTGTGAAACCGCGAAGGAATTTTTGGAGCGTGGCAACAGTCTTGTAGCATCAGGCTTCTCACACCCAACCCAAATCAATGGTTTCAACCCTATCCCTTGTACACCATTCAATGGTGTGAGAATGCTTTGCGCATTTCGAGTGTTCGACATGCGTTCCCTACTAACCACTTATTGTGCCTCAGTTGAGTGCCGAATGCAGATGATGCGAATAGGCTAAACAGGTTTTGTTGCTTGTGTTTCGGCGTTAAACTCCCACACAGTATAGGGAATGTCAACCGGAATATTTCTACTTCCAGATGGTGCTTGATCATGTGTTCATTCCACTGGCGTAATCGGTGATTGTTCCAAACTTGTACGATGCTTCTTCATTGCAGCACATTCTTACCTGGATGTTGATTATTCAAAACCGATTCACTGTTCTCAACTTCCGTTTTTTCACCTCTCCATACTAACCATCATCCTACCGACCATGAGTGATTGCGAACCAGAGAAACTATAAATAGAATGTAGTGAAAATGCTTGATACGCAAAACTTGCTTTAACTGGTAACCAATTCATTTACTAACAACTACTAAAACAGGAGTGATAGTTAGAAGCTAGTGTCTTGCTTAAAACCAACTTCGTTGTGCTGCACTATCAGACTATCCCGTTCGATTTTTGTGTGGGGTTTCGCCCCTCTGCGATTCCCACTTTAGTGGAACAGCCGTAGTCAGTCCCCAGTGATAAACCGCGTCCATGAAAGTCTGTCCCGTTAGCGGAGACAGCAATACTGTGTTCACCTGGGCAACCAGTGTCCCAATCCCTGTAAATGAACACGCACGAAATCGGGTCATCGATTTGTGTCTACTTACATAGTGCTACGTTATTTCAGGTAGGTCTTCATGACCATGTGTCCTTTGTTCACCACTAGGGGGAGTGTATTTTATTGTTGTGTTTGAATCGGCACTGTTGACTGATGCCAGTTGTTACTCAGCCACGCATGGAATTCATGGAAATGCAGCTTGGTGCTCAGCTTATATTAAGGACGTGGCGAGTTAGAAGAACAAACAAGCACGACGTTCCTCTATATTTATTCAGTAATGGCTTGCCTCGCTCCCTTATTTCGGAAAGTCGTTTCGTGTGTTACTGGTTCGATTGAAACTGAAGCTTCAAAAGCAGAAGACAAGGTCAAACCACCTTGACGTATTGTGTTTGATGCGCAAGGCGAAATGACGACTGGTGAATATGCACAGAATGATCTTGAGGCGAGGACGCATCACTCAACATCCAGTTGGTTACCCATCATGAGCTTATTCAGATCCCGGGGCTTGGCTAACTCTTAGTTTTGGAGTTTTCGTGGACTATCTGGATTCCACGTGTCGAGTCCTAATTAGTTCAACTCTCTTCTTGACTTAGGTAGAATGCAGCCAAATTGTATTTAAAAAAACTTTCCAGGAGGAAGAGTTCTAGCTCATTTAACACCTTTTAAGCCACTGTCGGCACCATATATTGCTTCCTTCGGGTGGCATGGCAGCTAGGCACCGGAAGGGTGCTACAGCTGAACGCTTTATATTGACCAAATCCAATGTTGCCCGGATTTGGAGTTTTCGTGGACTATCTGGATTCCACGTGTCGAGTCCTAATTAGTTCAACTCTCTTCTTGACTTAGGTAGAATGCAGCCAAATTGTATTTAAAAAAACTTTCCAGGAGGAAGAGTTCTAGCTCATTTAACACCTTTTAAGCCACTGTCGGCACCATATATTGCTTCCTTCGGGTGGCATGGCAGCTAGGCACCGGAAGGGTGCTACAGCTTGAACGCTTTATATTGACCAAATCCAATGTTGCCCGGAGCCGCAGAAAGTACCCCTCTGTTTTCAGCGTGGTCCTCATTGTTCCTTATGAACTTAAATTGCTTGGTGCCTGAGGTGATTGCTATCTTGAGAGCATTTCCCCACACGATTTCCAAGGTATTTTGTTGCAAGTACCACTGAGCTGAAATGTTTATACTTCGTTTCCGATGGTTTACCGCCGTGACTTCCTTTGACCGCTTATTTCACCTTTCCATTTTTTCCAGTCGACGAGGGTCTCATACATCACTTACTCTATGCCTTTCACCTTTTGTGGATCCGATATTGGACACTACCGCCACATCAACGGCCGGACGTGGTGGGAGTCTTGATGAGGAAACGGGTCGTACACAGGCCGCGGTTCCTCACACTCGTTTTGCTGGCTTGAGTGCGTGTGAACCAAGAAGTTTATACCACTCCACTCACACCACCTGTTATGGCGGTAAATCCGGGGAAGATTTGGATTCCGCCGTTCCACCTGCCACCTGTGAGGATGTCCGCTGTCAAATTAAACCAGTTCGGTCAGTTACAGATCACACCAGCTTAGAATTGAATGCGACCAAATCCGTCAGCGGGACTGGTGCTCTTTGTCGTGAACCCCTTGATTCGTTGCTCAGTCGGCACCAGTATTATTCGCACCATCATTATCTACATCACCGACACTTGCACTACCGACCGACAGATCCACACCATCGCCTAGAACTTGGTCGTCAGTGTCCCCACAACACATTGTCTCAGCAGCGCAGCCGCGAAGTTGAACAGTTATTGAACGCTAGCCAACCATTGACATACGAAAAACTGGCCAGCAAGTTACGTGATAACGCTCCATCCTTGTTCCAGGAATTCTGGGACATTCCAATGAACCACCCAAGCAAGAAGGAACTACCCATAGTTGGAATCGGACAGAAGAATCGCTATCAGTCAATTCTTCCGAGTAAGACTTTTACGTCAAACACTTTTAGCGTAGGTGCTATCCAGTACCGGTATGTTGTCATCATAAGTAACCTTGTGGATCCCCAAATTTACTTATGGTTTCATATGCTAGGTTTGGGGCTTTCAATCGAAACACCTGTGGCAATTTCCTCTGTTGGTCCACAAATTAAAGTACACACTGAACCCTGAGACCTTCACTGATTTGTTGAAACCTACAATACATTATCCGAACACCCAGTCGTGTAAAAAAAACTTTATGGAATAGATTACCTTCTTAAAACCTTTTCAAGTCAACCTCCTCTCGATATTCGTAGGCAACCACTACTCTTTGCATGTATCTTAGTTCAGCATCAGCAGTTTGCCGCCACTGATTAGAAAAGTGACCACACCGAACCACCACAACTGAAGAAAGACCCCAAATCTTTCACAGATTTACAAAATGAGCAAACGGTGTAATTTTCCATCGAACCTAACTAACACAATTCAAGTCCTTTTCAAGATACAAATACGTTTCCACAAGAAGTAGGCAAGTTGATTGCAATTGTCTCATCCTCATGGGAGGTGCCATCATCAGCGCATAGTGAAGCAGGTACGTCAGTGGTTGCACAACCGCAGCACTTCCCATGTTTCAGGCAGAAACGCAATGTTTCGAAAACTCTGTTCCCTTTATCTTCAAATCATATTCTACGACAGCTGAGCTAGAACTACTCACAAATACCTTGTGGCGAAATGGATATCCTAATCAGCTCATAACTAGGCAACTTAATGATAAGATAATCGTTCAGCTGTAACACCCTATCGGTGCCTGGCTACCATTCAACCCGAAGAAAGCACGAGGACTGGGATACTGCCAGATTGCCTAATCCTAGACAGGGGAAATCGAGAGGAAGAGGTCGGGTTCGAACCACGGGCCTTCCGGTAGGTAAATTCGTGTTCTATCTACCGAGCCATCTGGCCCCAACATAATGACATGGGAGAAAAGCTGCGACCTATATGCAGAAGAACTGTATTCAATGGAATAGAGCAGCTGTTTAAACACACGAATGTCTAAGCTCAGCGCCAAAAATGATACATTACTGAATCAAGGGTTGTTACTACCTTCACTTTATTGAGACAACCCCCTTGGGGGTAAATCCCATTCTGTATACACGTGTGTATTTAACTACGGAGAAAGTTACATTGCAGAACTTCTAGCTACTTCAATTCCAGCAAAGAAGGGGGCATCCCTTTTTGGGTTCAGTGCCTAAGAGAGGATCGAACTTCAGGGCTCTCCTCTGATCGTAAAACGTCACAGTTAGCAATCAGCAAATCTATTTTTTCGACCACAGATCAGCGAGTTGGTTTAACCTCGGCGTCCAATGTTTTGTTCACTCATCAGATTTCATATGTTCCCAAATTTTCGAGGGCGATTCAAGCGTCTAATGTGCGTAACCCCTAGACTACCTCGGACATAAGACGTTCGCTGTTTCCAATTATTGGCTGGTCATTCTGTGACCGCGTAACTTTTGTAGGAACTAAAAGGCTTTTTCTCGTGATTGATAATTCGACTCTAACGACCTAATACGAAATTCGCGCACCTGTCCGTTTCCGTCTTCCAGTTGTGCTGTTTAAATTACTGCAGAGAGATTATTGTTTAAAACTTTCATGGGATTTAAATGACGAAGATAATCCATGGTGTGCTGTCCGATCGAACACCATCTTGTGGGTTCAACACGTCGAAAATCTTTCTTTCATTCAAGGACTCCCGTTTAAAATGTCTCATTCTAGAGAAATAGCATCGTGTTATTTTTGTGGCCGATTTACTGTACTGAATACATGAGAACTCATCAAAGATATCCGTACAAAGTGTAATTTTGGCTACGGCTGCTTGGTCGAATTTACTCCAGATTGTCGCCTAATTACCAACTGTGGAGTACGCAAATGAATCTTCGAATTCAAAGTACCCAGTTTATTGCTAGTGGGTACCAACTTGACGTGTGATGGATGGCCGATAGTGCTGTAGTATTTTAAAGGGATAAGGAGACCCAATTGTTTTTTAACAAGGATGACGGTCATCATCTCATTGTTCATTACTCACTTAGCAACTACTCATCTTACAACCGGGACGCAGGAAGTAGTATTTCTGAAAGTTCTTTGTCCAATCAAAAGAGTGATACTGAGACTTGTTCCAGTTCAAGTTAATGTGGCAGATGGAGGAGTGTATGAGTCTCGGTGGGTTTCCCATTCCCACCGCGTATAGTGCCACTATTTGTGCGTACACAGCGCTACTATGCAGGCCGTTGCTGCCTAGATGAAGGATCTGACAACTCTACAAGTATCTGACAGTCGATCTTATAGAACCGCAACCCATTCCCCACTGCGGGTCACAACTGCTCCGTCATGTGCCACATGCCCCGAGGCTTGCACTATTTTTCATACCAAGTTCAGGGTGACTTGGATCCAGCCTTGAATATCATATGACAAAACAGCTTGGGTGGAGTTCGCATAACTCGCCGAGTGCTTGGCATGAAATGGTGTAGTATTTGTTCACAAGCCGACGTCAATAACATTCCTAATCTTTAACTGTGCATGAATTGTTGGCACGTCAGTGTTTCTGGTAGCACAACTGGGTTTGTTTCATATAGATGAGTGCTGTTGGGCAGCCTCGTAACATTATCGCCTTACATTGGTGTCGAATTTCCTTCGTCTGATTTTCGTTCTCACCATCCGACTCTGCCTATACCATCTGACATGAGTGTTTGACTAAGTTCGGTTGTTGTCGGACAGTTCGTGCAGACCACTGACATGTCTCTTGCCGTCGTGCTGAAATATTGCAACTGATCGTACATTCCATTTGGTTCAAACACTCGGATCTTACGTCTAATCAATCGCTATCGGTGCTTATTGACGTATTCGATAGGTACAGATGGGAGTTCGCGTTAATCTCTACTGTATGAATAAAACCAAGGTGAATGTGATTCAGTCGAACAATTTTTCCTCCTCAACTCGCTTACTCAGCAGGAAGTCTTCCGGAAGTTTTCGATCATAGTTTCTTTTGTATTCTGGCTTGCGGCATGTACCAAGCTTTCCTAGAAAAGTGGTGCAGGCTGGTATGTTTTATGGATACAAGAGGTAGAATGAAGACTTTTCCAGGTCTTTGATAGCTATTGTCTCAAAACGATAGCTGGTCGATTTTGTTCCTGACGCACCCGAGTAACAGGTTGTGTAGCATGGTATTCAAATGAAGTGTGTGTTCAGTATCACAAGCTGCGTTAGCTTGATCGTGTGTTCCGTATGATAAGTCATCAGGATGCTGTCCCCCATGCCCTCTTCAAAGTGGTGCACGTGGTCGAAAGGACATGAAAACTATTACGAAACTTCAATGTTCTTTCGGTCCACCTTGCCTCATAGAATGAGTCTGGCGTGGTCCTCTTCGTGCTTGCCTCGAGACGCTACAGGACATGGCTGTTCGTCGATATCAATGATGTTCCGATCGTCAGTCGTATGCTCGTAGTAGGTCTTAGCCCCATTCACGTTTTTTCTCACAGTAAGCATTTTAATCTTTCAAGTCATGTACAAGCATGGCCAAACCGACTGCTGATACACCATAGATCCCTGTGTCTTGTGGAATCCAGTCTACATCGACGCCTAACTTGCGCATACTTTGCCGTATATGCGTAAGCTTCGAGCATGCTGACTACTGCGCACGAATAGTTCAGTTCCTGATTCCGCTCAGTTCATTGTTCCGTCAGCAAAAAACGTGTTGAAACGCAATCGCAACAATGTTTTGATGTGACTTCCAAACATACGGACATGTCACCATGAAGCCAGTTTATTAGTTCCATTGCTCCTTTCCTCATTGTTGTTCTCCGCTCATGCGTGTTCTATTCGATCGCGCTTTCCTAAGCCTCTCGGAGTTTTCGATTTTGCAACCGCATGTATGCACACCGCCTGTGTTTGTAGTTATCGATTGAACTGACAACTAGACATAACTAGGACACATGGATTATGAATGTCACACTATTTTCATTCACCGATTCTTTGGTAAGGTTTTGTTTTGAATCGGTCGCTATGTGGATTCGATCTACTGGACTAATTCGCATACAACAAATACTAAATCTTCGTGACTCACCGTGACATAACGGCTTGGAACTATAATCACTAACTAACCAAACACTTACGCCTTCATGGACTTCTGCTGCGCTCCATATTCTGTTCATTTAGTCTTCTCACTACGTGCCGCAGTGAATTTACAACGAAAGACCACTAGAACTCTGTTTCCGCTGTCTAAATAGTGTTAAGATCTCATCGAGTCCAACTCATACTTCTCGCGAGTAACTGAACCACCCTTTTTCCAATGGCCTCTGTTTTTGTTCCAGTAGGCTCAGAACAGCTATTATTATCGAGCTGCCTCATGACGTTTGCACAGGTTGCTTCGTTTTGTTCACCATGCGCGAATTTAGAAATTATGCCTCCATATTCCGAAGAGACCAGGTGAGGGGTTCGACCAAAAGTGACTTCTTCTAGGATCTTTGTTTGAATCTGAGCCTCTGGCCAGTCAGCTGCAATTGAAAATATTAAATCACGGAATGAGTCGCCATCTATCTTCGCTGAGCATCTCACCAACAGTCGATGTGACATCGTTAGAGTACAGTGTAGTGGCAATGCGCGGGAGTTTAGCAGCTCTGTGACCTTGGAGATTTACTCAGTCCATGTAACATCGACTCCTGTAGCCACAAATTCACCCTTCTTGTTTACATCATTGTTTTATTGCATGAAACCAAGACATTTAAAATGCAAGACTCAGTAATTCCCTCTGCACGAAAATGGGAGCTCATGTTTACTCTCAGGTAGATTCCTCTAATCCGCCTCAGAGCGCCAAGTGCTGGTATCCCTCGTGATGAAACTGTGTCTTCTACCTTTTGCTCACATTCAACGGCTTGATAGAATAGATTCTGAGACGGTTGTGCGGGTCATCAGTTCATAGCTCACGAGTAGTGGGAACTGTTCAACTGTTGATGACATGTAACATGAGAATCGTTGGTCACAGTGGGCACTGAATTGCTTTCAGATAAACTAGTTGTCCAAATCCTGCGCTTGTACTGGCTCTGGAGTCTGCAACACAGAGAGCAATCCTAGTTTCATGCCGCATCCATCCTCTGATGGGATGACAGGGTGTATTAATCTAATGTCGGTATCTTTGTTCTATCATCTAGTTGAATCTGGAACAAACTTGGGAAACCAGATTGTGTATTTCGATAACAGTCTGCTCTGCGTTTCTCAACAGTCAGAAACTTTAGTTAGAACCTCTACCAGGGTGTCAGTAGTACCAGTTCTAAATTTGGGTAATCCAAACGATCGCCACCAGCTGCAGTCCTCCACGTCCTGTTATTTTATCTTCAATGGACGAATTTGTAACGAATGAAATGATTTCACTACGCGTAAATGGCCTTGTCGATGATGGCGACCAGGAATTTTATCAGAAATAATTCAAACAATGATATACCCCCGATTCGCCTCCCTCCGGCCAGAAAACCTTTAAAGCGACCACTTTTCATCTTCCTCTTGAGCCTTAACGTAACTCAGCTGAATGCAGCCGGATCGCTCGTTTATGACGGCCTCTCGTCAAGAACGAAATCCCATGCCACCGAGGGTATTTGGCCGATTAAGTTTTTAATTGCATACAAGGAGCACATTATTTTGACGTGAATTACCTGATGGGCCCCGAGAAGGGTGAAACCGGTAGTGGTCTGTCGAATAGTCTTCGGCTTCTTCGGAATAGTGCATTACGATGTCTCGAATATCGTACTAACCGAAACGTGAGCTGACCTAGTGAAACACATTCAATTGCTTAAGAACATGATAAACGAGAGATTCAGCTGGGTTCCAGGTGAGCCCAAATTGGTATGCAAATGACACTATTTGGTGGAAACAACAAGCCCTCCAAATGGGATGGCGCAGAAACAGGTCAACCTTACGTCAAGGTTAGTTCCAATGTCTGTCTCTAGTACCGGTGCAATTGAACTAGCGTACGAAGATTGGTTGAATCCTAGGATTTATCTTGGGAGACGGGTTCAACAGTGGATAATCTGTTCTTTAGCCAAGCTCTCAAAGCTTAATTCCCACTCCTCTGAAAAGTTCAACAGACTATGGTGTCCTTAAAACACGGTGTTTCTCTTTGATCCAGTTGAACAGTGCAATGAGAACAACGCAGTTGCACGATAAATCAGTTTCGTACACGTGGAAAAAGTGTACACGTGGCAAACAATAAAATGAAGGAAAGAATGAATTGCGTCTCACGACAAGGCTCTCAAATAGCTTTCACACAACGTATTGGTGAAGTGAATCGTTCGATGACACCTCAGTTATGTGGCTGGCTGGCTGGCGCTGGTCTTTAGATTATCATGTCGTGAGAAAGATGGTAGTTCCGGTCCCTGAAGATAAGGTGCGCTCACTTCAGCTCATTCGGTAAGGTGTCACAGAACACTGGTCAGCCAATCCGAAGATGTTGAACGTAAAGAATGGAAGAGTTGGAAAGTAAAGTAGTCATAAAACTCTTAACTTTTTTTAAAGATACGCGCATAGATTGTGTGTGTGTGCCCAGTCGCAATGGCAGACCACCCACATACTCTGACCTAGCCTTATCGCTGTGAAATCTCCGAAAATACAAGCTCCACCTTGATCAATGACCAGCGAGCACATATTGCTGGCTTCCATTCAAGGTACGCTTGAAGGAGCACCAACGAACATGCTAACGGAATGGAAATTAAAAAGGGATCATGGCTCATTTCTTCAGTGCGTCGTAAACGGAATTGGAACCTTCTCATCGTCAATCCCCCCATCTATGACGTTTTTGGCAACTGGAAAAATAGTGAAACAACGAGCACAGCTGTGCTATAACACTGAATGATTTTGCTGTGATCTTTTGTGCGTATTTCAAATGACTTTTGGTGTCCTCTTCAATCGTTTTTATAATCTCAAAGAGGATCATTTTGTCCCAATCACCACTCTAATACTGTGATTCCTCACGACGTGTGCGTTCAAAAAAATTTCGCTCCAAGAAACCCATACGTGGTCTTTTTTTACCGTTAGTCGTCAACCACACCATCAGACCAGGTTTCAAGTAAGCCTTCTTTTCGTGACAAATCGGTTGCTCTGATCATCCGAACGTGAAATGTAGAGTCGTGTTGAAAGTGCACATCAGTTTCACCCAGTCTGTAATCCATCAGTATCACGACATTGAGGTCAAAGCCCATTCTTTTACTTTTGGATTGTGCTCTGCTGCAAGGGGTATGACAGTTGAATAGCATTCCAGTTTTTCTGTTTGGTGAAATCTACACCTTCTTATGTGACAAGAGGCTCTGCAGATCAACATTCCATTAACTCAAAAGAAAGCGGGTGATAGGAAAGTGGATTGATCCAAGGATCATGGAAGAGTCCTCAGTGGCTACTTTAGTGACTATGATTCGACCTAGGAAGTAAGCACTGTGGTCCTAGTAGAATCCCCCGATTGAATTATATTTCAAATAAGCCCGACTGAGGGTAGAATAATCTGAAATGTAAACCTGACAACTCTCTTCGAAAAACAATTGCTCGATTCAAACGCCTTTCAGCCACCACTCGGAACTGAGGATTTAGCCGATTTCCCCATCGAAGTAAGAACTTTTTCCTGTAAGGAACGTTCCAACCGTTCTGAGCCTCCGAGATGACCAAATTCACAACAATATTTCATTGACGTTTAAAAAAGCGGTCGAAATTAGTGTATTAACGGAAAAGTGGCGGATGATCTACTGTCTTGTACTGTGTGACTAATTTCATTAAAAACTACCTTCCTTTGTCCATTGATCCACAAACACTTTTCTCTTTTTCTCCGTCAGACTACTCAACAAGAGTTATTTTGCCAATACTAAATAACGATCCTGCCACAAGTTACATCAATGCCAATTATATCCACGTAAGTAGTATTATACTCGCATATTTCCACGCTACCGCTGGCCCAGAAAAGCCGGGTTCCATTTTGCCTGAATCTTCGGTTCGTCTATGTGGGGCTGTAGGCTCATATTTCTTGTTATAACCCTTGTAACTTCCTGTGTTTGTGTGGGCAACTGTGAATGTATTTGCTTGACAATATATGTCCGTTGCTCCAGGATACAATCGAAAACTGCCATTGGCAAGTTGCCCAGACCTGTTACATTATCTCTGAAAAGATGCCATTCTACTCTCCGCAGCGTTCTCTTCTGAAAGGTGATTTTATTAGTGCCGTCATATTATATTATGGCCATTCTAATTACGACTTAGGATCATGTGGCCAATTTACCTTTCCGAACACACGCACTGTCCCACTCAAATGCAGAAACAAGTGATCCCCTCGGTTAAGCTCCTGGACTATCTTAATTTAGTTTGAACAACCGGATATTCGTGCAGCAAGACAATAATTTATTCCAGACGGCATAAGTTTTTCGCTCCCATGTCGGTTGACTACTTTGAGGAATATACACTGCCTCTCTCTAACAATAGGCTGAAAAATGACTACTTTGAATTATTTTCAGAGCCGTTTTATTCAAGATAATCGCATCCCAAGGCTGTCGCAGAGCGCTTGAGTCATCTATTATTTTCTCATACACAGCTCGATTTTTCGAGCATGCCCTTCAATGTTTTTCATATCCGGCACGATCACAATTGTTATCGTGGTCTTCTTTGGATGCCTCTTATTTGTTCCTGAATCGCTGTTCTGAGTATCGCGTAGTTTTCGTACGCAACTGCTATCGGTTGATTTCGTCTGAATCCAGAGTCGTGCATGCTAGAACGGTTGTACCTGTGAATTCCATGGAATAAGATTGTTCGGCAAGCTTTCGCACGTCCATTCACAGCAGTCCACCGGATCCAGCGTCATGACAGTACAGTGAACACTTGCACCGTATTAAACGCATGGCGCTGCCATTCCGTAATTCCTTTTGGGTATGGTATCGCGTCTTCCGCGAACAATGTGCCGGGGGCTGCTCGGAACGAACTGCTGTTGATCAACAGACAGTGTAGGTAGGATAGAATACTAGTTTCACCGATCTCCTCAGTTTCAGACATTGTCTACTCCATTCTTCATCACCACTTTGACAATTGTTGCTATTCGTTACTTTCAGTTTAACAGTTCCATCAGTTGCTAGTGGTGTCAACCTTTTTTTATTTGATGATTCGGCCTATCTGAAATTACTTCTTTGTTGTCATCTAATAATTACGGCAGTTAAGCACCAGTTCGTGTTACTAGTGTATTACTCTCAATGATGTCCCTAATTTATGGTTAGACTTTGTAGTTACCGTCTGGTGACTGAACAACTCGCGAACCACATACAAGTGAAATCATGTGCGAATGACCGTTCCGGTGTTTTCTTCAGAATTCAAAGTCTATTGAATGTAGTGCTTTTTATTAGCTATTGAGTTGTCCAAAAGTCATTGCACAGAGCCGTTCAGGGAGGTGTTTCACCAATCAGGTTTAAGTTCATTCTGGTACTTTGGGTCTACTAGTACCTTTGTTATTGCTACTCCTTTTTGTTCTCTTAGGGCTATGGTGGTCAACCTAACGCATTCATTGCGACGCAAGGTCCCATGTCCCACACAGTCGTTGACTTTTGGCGGATGGTATGGCATTCACATGCTCCAGCCATAGTGATGATCACAAAGTTGGTTGAACAGCAAGTGGTAAGTTCCCTGTGTTGCCTGTTCCCCACATCGCGTTATCAAAGAAACACGAATACGGTAGCGGAGTGTGTCAACATTTCATGGCTACGTCCGTCCTAACATGCTGTGCCTTCGTTTGGTCATTCGGTGTTGAGTTTAACTGGTGTGCACATCTGTACGCATGCGTGAATGAAACGGAAAATGACTCAGGGAAATCACGTTCCGTCTAAACGGTTTATAAATTTAATACATACAGTTAACTTTCTTGTTGGACAGTAAACTGTCCGGTAGGGTTTTACAAATGAAACTCGAGACGTACGTCAAAGGGACGGTGGTTATAAATGCGTTTAGTTCCACCAGTTCCCCCAATTTGGCTTAGGGTGAGATTAGAATAGCAACGTTTTTGTTCGTAAAGTAAAGGAAGCTTCGAGTATTGTCTCATTAGTCACCTCAGCATACTAGAAAGGATGTCTAAAAATGTCGGCTTACTCGATTTCCAGTTAAGAGTACCAAGGACAATGCTCCATAACGCTCGATCAAGCTACGTCCAAAGGCCGAGGTGTCCTACACAGCCCTGCTTCATCGCTGGTGTGAATCGCCGACAGTGTACAGACGGCAATGACTGATGGGATTATGCCATACGTTCTAGATTATCTTCTCAAACCCTTTCTGCAAATTGCTACAATTGTCTACGTGTAACAGTCATTCTGTGTATAAACAAACAAGTTGACCTTCAACTGCTCAGCCTTATTTGGGCCGGTAGCACTATACCTAAACTGAGGCTTTGTTTCATTTCAGCGAGCTTCACTGATAAGGTGATGTTTTCCACACGCAAGTAATAAGGAAGTATGTAATTTCTTTCGTGAATGTGGACACTTGGTTCGGTTGTCGCCGGCTGAAGTGTCTCCCCAACCTTCAACCCTTCCATTATTTTATCAAAAGTCTACGCCAGTTCGTACGTACGAGTTCATCTTTTGTCACACATATGTTGGCCTACCCATGAGTTTATGTCATGGGCTGCGCATGTTCTCACGCTTCAGTTTTTCCTGCTCTTGTGAAGAGGTTAGATACACCGAAGGTACGGTGCAAAGTCACTTCTCTGGCTGTGTCTCAAGTTTCATCTTGGGTGAAAGAATGGTTCTATCCACCCCACAGAGCCGCTTCCTGACGAATTTCTGTGTGCTTGTCCCAGTCGGTGGTATGCCATCCTCTGAGTATGTTATGGCATGAAGAGATGGCGAGCTGCCCGGCAGCTTCATGTGAACTTTGTGCGGACTGGTAATCAGGGCGACGTGGATTTTATCCGTTGGTATAACTCTAGCCTTTGCATTGTCAAGCGTGACCGGTCAGGCAATAAGGTGACTATTTGCCAGACTAATCCATCGGTCGGTTCGGTACAGGATATTCTGTGTTGCTACCCGCTGGGTTTCCGAATTACACAGACTGTCACACAACGATGAGGTCTAGCCTCTTCGCAACGGAATGTTTCTACAAGATATGGGCACCAGTCATTCCCAGGAAGGTTGTTCCTGTCAGGTACTATTCAAATGGTTTAACCAAGTTTCCGAAGTACCTCAAAGTTAGCCCTGGATCTCACTGTTTCGTCAGCGGCACTTTTCGCAATAGCACTGTATCTAAATAAATAAGCGTCTTTGGAAAGCATTCAGCTGAGTGTTTCTGTCAATAATGAGATTACTGGTGTATCTTGTATTGTAGCGACATCTCTCGATTGGTGTGTGGGTTTGACTAATGGTTTTCTCGACAGAGTATGCAATAACTACTACTTTTTCGAAAGCCATTGATTATGACGTCCCCTACTCATCCCTGCCAATACGTGATTGACATATGTTAGAAGTAGCTTATTAGTAGGCCTTTGTCTGCATGCTTTGCCTCAGCAACAACTAGCTCCTTTACCACTCATTGATTTGTACCCGCACATGTACGTCTGTTTTCATGCCAATCGCAGGTTCTAGCGAATGGAATCAATTTCCAACCTCGGCGAACAGATCAACAGCCACCTGATCACTTACCAATCTAGTGAATGATGCCTGGAAGGTAGGATCTGGCGCAAAAGACGCCTTCTGAACATAACTAACATGACAAAGCGGAACCGAATGGCTTCTTTACACCATTCACTCACC